CTTTATCATATATGATGCTGCTCTATAATGTTTCTCATCTGAAGAGTGAGATCATTGACCAGCAATCTCTGGAAAATGGTGTGTCTCTAAGAAAACTAGAATAAAACAAACAAAGGGACAGCAGTGGTTGCAGACTGGGCATCTGAGTTTCTTAGTCATGATCATTAACATGTCTGAGAAGAAGCCTCTATGTAATGGAAGGGTGAAAAGAAGCCCTTCATCTGTGGACAGGCCAAAAACTAGGAATTAGAAATTCCAGCAAAATGTCCTGAAGTTGTTCCACCTCTTTGTAGTAGCTATCTTTAAGGTAACAGGGAGTAGAGTAGGCACCTGAAAACAAGAGAGCAATAATCACTTTATAACCCATATTGTCATTATGCTTCTTATTGTCTCTATTTACCCCTTGGTTGATTTCTAGTTCTACATTTTGAGAAATACCTTAATAAGCTGTAGTCTTAGTTGTTCAAAGGTGAAACAAAGGTAAAGGAGTTATGCACGCACTTGGGCCAGAGGATGTCAGCATGGTGGTAGCACAAATAATCAAACAGAAATAACCCCAAAGGGGAAAGTGAAATTCAAGGGGTAAGAAGGAATATGTTTATCCTCTCCATCTCATCTCCGCCCTCAAAACAAACAAAACAATACAAAACCTAGAGTACTCCATGACTAAACCTTGGGTGTTAGAAACCTGGGTTTCTACATGTTCTTTCTGAACAAAATGGAAATGCTATTTCATATGCTACCTTAAAGAGTCTTCAATTCAAACTACTGGGTAAAAGAAGCAGACACACAATATAGTGTCTCACTTTTTCAGAAATAGTTGTCCCTCAGTATTCATAAGGGATTGGTCCCAGGCCCCCAACAGATAACAAAGTCTACTGATGCTCAAGTCCCTGATAAAAATAGTGTAGTATATGCATATGATCTACACACATTCTCCTGTATACTTGAAATCATCTCTAGATTACTTAAAATATCTAATACAATGTAAATGCTATGTAAAGTTATATTTTTTATTCATATTATTTTTGTTATTTTTTATTTTTTTAATTTTTCCAAATATTTTAGATCTGTGACTGGTTGAACCCAAGGATGCAGAACCCATAGATATGGAGGACCAACTGTATTCTTAAACTTCAAAAAATACAGAATTTACCAGATTTTCAGATAAGCCTAGTTCACAATTAGGTGATTCACTGCAACACAAAGATTTATTTTATTCTAATAGGATCGCCCCTCAGAATAAGCCCTTTCTCTTTCCTGGACTAGGAAAGTAAATTTACACACCACAAAATGTTTCAACCCAATTTTCAAATTTAAAATGTATCACTTTTGATCAATAATTTAAATTAGATGTGGTCACTTTGGTAAATTTTGGGTGGAAATGAGTACTGAATGTTTATTCTAGACATCTGGGCCGTATTCTTGGTTCTGCCATTTATAACCCTGAGCAAATTATTGAAACTCTCAGTTTCCTCATATGCACAAAGAGAGAGTTAAGCTATACAACACTAATTTCATGGAAGATACTTTTTTTCTTTTTTTTGAGAGTCTTGCTCTGTCACCCAGGCTGGAATGCAATGGCACTATCTCAATTAACTGCAACCTCCCCTCCTGGGTTCAAGCAATTATCTTGCCTCAGCCTCCCCAAGAAGCTGGGATTACAGGTGCCCACCATCATGCCCAGCTAATTTTTTTTTTTTTTTTTTTTTTGTAATTTCAGTAGAGACAAGGTTTCCCCACTCTGGCCAGGCTGGTCTCGAACTCCTTACTTTGGGTGATCCACCTGCCTTGGCCTCCCAAAGTGCTGGGATTACAGGCGTGAGCCACCACCACGCCCAGCCAGAAGATACTTTTTCAAAAATATAAACACAATTAATTAGGTACCCTGTGACGTGTTTCTGTTAAAAGCAAACAAACAAAGGATGGAGATAGAGAAAAATTCAAAATGTCCAGAGATCAACCTTTTGAATCTGTCTCCTGTGAGCAGAATTTTATATTTACACTCACAGTGATCAGGGATATCATCCTAAAGGGGAATGTATCTCTAAAAAGAGAAAACTAAAAGGCCGAGTGAGTGATACTGTTATCTAGATAAATTCAGAGTCAAATTTCTTCTTCCCATGAAGTTATTCCATGCATATGATTAAGCCTCACAAGGTACCTTTTAGTGCATTATTTAAGCATAACCACTATACTGTAATCCCTGAAACATGTAAGTTCAAATCAGCAAAATCTAGTACTTTGTATGCTACTTACTGGCCATTGAAGAAAAAAATTATTGTAAATCTGCCAGGTAGCTACTTTTGAAGTTATATTTTAAAATATTTATTTTTATAGGGATTCTAATGAAGATTTAAAAAGATAGGGGAAAATGCACTTAAAAATAATGTAAACTTGAACAGACTGGTCTACATAGATCTTCTTTACCCTCCTGAAGATCACATTTTCAGAATTCTAAGCTTTCAGCACTAAATATCTCCCTAATCTGCTATTTTAGTTGAAGCCAATAGCACTGATTTAATGATGGTGTGTCCATGTTTTAGCATCTATATCTTTTTAGGTTCTACAAATAACTAAGTACATAGATTTGAATACTAAGAAAAATGGTTTGGTCCAGGCGTGGTGGCTCACGCCTGTAATCCAAGCACTTTGGAGGCCAAGGTGAGTGGATCACCTGAGGTTGGGAGTTCAAGACCAGCCTAACCAACATGGTGAAACCTCGTCTCTAAAGAAAAAAAATTTTTTTTTCTTAAAAAAAAGAAAAATGGTTTGTCAGCGACAACAGAGAACCCCAAGTGTCAGAGCAAACTAAGGGTATAAGAACCAAAATGAGTGAAAGCCCTTCCGTGAGAAATTTTCCTTCCAGTGCTCTTTTCTGCCTTTAAACCTTTGTGATTATATATTTTAACATGGTAAGAAGTCCCTAATTAAAGACCTAGTAAAAGCCACCTGAAAGTCTAGGAGATCCTCCTGCCTAGTCTGTTCAAGACCTAGTAGGAATTCCATGAGACTGACAATTCCCAGAAAGATAGATAGTCTTATTAGCCCCACAGATTACTACTGCCTTTATGAGTCACTGCCATACACAGGCAGCACAGACTGGTGGGAGAAACATAAAGACAATTTGCAATACAAAGTAGCAAATGCTACAATGTAACACTGCTGAAGATTTGTAACAATTTAACAAAGCAAGGTGGGACTCAAGCTTCTGTAGAGGCCCTGCCTAGAGAATTCTGACTGGCAGGGGCATTCCAAGGTCAACTGTATTAGACTTCACGGAGAACATCTACAATCTGGTGCACTCTTTGGCAATACAGTTAACGAGAAAAATAAAACCTAGTTCCCTGCCCTGGAAGAACATAAGAGGCCAAAGAAAACAAAGTTATCACGTGTTCGGGATCCAAAAAATGAAACTAATCTTTCCAGAGCAGAGGTCATGTCGGGAAGCAGTGAAAGACTGAGTTTGTAAAATGAAAATATTACTAGTGTGAAGAATCATCGCTCAATCTAATGAGAAATGGAAAGGTAAATAAAAGAGAGATCCACGATTATTCAAGACACTATTGTGGGGTAAAGAAACTGAGAGGAGAAATTACTATTGAACAAAAACAAAACTGAAGCCGGTGAGTTTTCAACTCTACAATCTTTTACGCCAGTGCTTTTCTTCAAAAAAAACTATAGGTACAATAACGCGTAAGGGTTAAAGGAACCACGCCCGGAGCCAAGCCCTCTGTGCTCAATATTCAACTCCATCACTTTCCAGCTATGTCCTTTTTGGGAAAGTTACTTAACAGCTCTGTGCCTCAGTCTCCTCACCTGTAAAATGGGGTGGATGAGTGCCTTTAAAACCAGGAGGGGGTTCTTCAAAACACAGTTGTGGTTACATCTCTCTACTGATCAAAAACTTTATTCACAAAACCAAATCCACATCTTTCGCGAACCGTATCGATCTTGTGTAGGTTCTGCAACCAATAAGCGCTTCCATGTCTCATCTCCGGCAGCTCTGTGCTAGAAAACCTTTTCCTTACCATCTTTCTAAGTCCACTTTAGGAAATTAACTCTCCCTCCCATTCCATAATGCACTCGTCTGTTCCTCTGTACTGGTTTACCACTAATCCCCCAGGTTTTGTTTGGTCTTTTAATGCTCACTCTTTCTTGGAAAGGCAGTAATTTTAGAGAGCAAAGGCAAATCTCTTTCATGGCCGTTCCTACCCTTCATCCCAGAATGTGCCTGTGCAAGCCTGGGAAAAGCGTTAGTGAATTAAACCGGATGATTACTACCGTAAAGGCCGCAGTTCCAGAAACTGCCTAATTTCGCATTGCTTTCAAATCCTGAAAATCTTCACACGAAAGGCCTCTTCAAATCAGAACACCATCCTTTCAAGAAAAGTTCTACAGAGCACCCCCACGAGTTGACAATGTGGTCATTCTTAGCTCCAGAAGTTGTGTATGCGCCGCGGAGGGCAGCTGCACACTGGTCGACACTGTACTTTGAAATAAGGGGCGAGAAGAGGCGGCTCCGGCGGCAGCGAGGGCTATGCTCCGCTCTGCCCTCAACTTCCTACGGGCTCGGGGCTCCGGCCGCGTTCGTCCCACTCCGCCGCACTCCGTTCCCAGCCCTCGCCTCCCCTGGTCCCGCCGCAGCAACACCCCCTCCCCGGAGCGGCAGCGCCAAGCGCGCTGCGGTTCCTCCCCCGCGCTCAGCTTGGCCGAGCTCCGGGCTGCCACCCGCCCGGCCCGCGGCCCCCGGCCTCTCCCCAGGCCCGCCGCCCGGGGCCCAGGCCGCCGACGCCGCCGCTGCCCCGAGGGGAGCTGAGGGGACTCGCTCGGCTCCGCGTGGCGCCGGGGGCGGAGCCGGCCCGAAGGGCCCGCGGAGAGGCCGGGGGTGGACGGCGGCCTCCGCCTACCCCGACGCGCACCCCGCCGCCCCCAACCCAACCTCCTTGGGGCCCCGGCCCGCGCCCGCGGCCCGGCAGCCGGCGAGACTCGCCACTTACCAACCCGCCTGGGACAACGCCGCGCCAGGGACCTCGGCCATGGTAGCTGCTTAGGCCGGGGGTGGTGGGGGGCTAGGGTGGGGGTGGTGGGGAGACCTCCTACTTGAGACCCCCCCCTAAAAAAAAAAAAAAGAAAAGAAAAAACTCCTCTGGTCGTCTCTGCAACTGGGCATGCTCAGTGCGGCCGGCGCTTCCGCGTGCGGGTTCCGCTCGCCGTGTTTTCTGAGCGGCCGTAGGGGCCGGCCTGGTGTGGGGCTTCCAGGCTGCGGAGCTCCGGGGGCCTGATCCACCAAACGCGAGCTGGGGGCGCTGGAGTCTGAGGACCGCCGAGGGACTTTGGCTCTTCACCGAGGGCTTTTACTTGTTTTGGGGGCCACTTTCCTGAGTTGCACACCTTGGAAAGTCGTGAGGAGGTTCTTCGTAGAGCAAAAGTGTGGCGTTTGCAGCGCCGACAGGCGGTCACCTTAGAGAGAGCAGGATGAGGCCAGAGACGGAGAGCGCGTCCGGGACGGCGCTAAAAAGGCCACGTTTCGGGCAGTAAGACTCAGAGGTGTCCCCATCCCATTCTGCCCAAAAGTTTACTTTCTTATAAAGATTCGTTCCCTTCACCTCGCCTTTTGATCCTCCCGGACGCAAAGAAAAGAGTGAAGTTCAGGCTTTGGTGAGTCCTCACGGGCAGACAGGGTTGAAGCCGGACACCACAGTGAAAATGACTGGCCAACCCAAGAAAACCTGCACTTCGGAGATAGGGGGAAAGGGGGCAGTTGTGTCAGTGCTTGTTTTTCCTGTTGCCCTCCACATGTGACCGTCCGTATCCCGGCGCGGCCCCGCGACCTTGGCACTGTACTGTCAGGCCTGGCGACCACAGCCGCCTTGCCACCGGTGCCCATGGCCAGCGCTCCAGAGGGCTGGGACGTGGGGTGGGACCCTGAGTGGGCATGCGCGGCGTCGTCGCCGAGCGGCACGGCGGACGCTACAACGCGATTGGACGTCTGCGACTTACGCTGGCCAATCAGGGAGGAACCGGCGGAAGGGTTCGCGGGCCAAGGAGGCGCTCGCTCCCTAAAAGTTTGCTCCACCCTCTCTATCTTTCCCTTCTGGGGCGTCCGGTAGGTGAGGGAAAATACGCTACTGAGGGGCACTGTCCCCATCTTCCAATTCGAGGGAAGAAGACTTTAACCCCTATCTCCGCCGCTTGCCGCCGCTGCTTCATCTGAGGGCATCATCAAAAACAGACTTGGAGCAGAGTCTGCGGAACTGGGCAGAGGCACTCTTGGGATTGGGGAGGAAATTGGCAGTTACAAAGGAAGGGGATAATTGCCCTGGGTGGAGCTAAAATTCTTTAATACAGATTTTTCTCCTTTTAGCTGGGGTATTCCGTTTGGTCTTCCCAAAAGTCATAGTTATAAAATCGCGATGCTTTCCTTAGGTAGAATGCTATTGAGATTTGCTCCCAAGCATATTGTTTAGATAATTTTAGATCAGAACTAGCTCCATCCTATTCCCTACAATGTATGGCAGTATGCAATGTTTAGGTCAGACGTATGCTACAAGTATATTTCCATTTATAGTCATTGGCCATCGTTTACAGGAGCCAGGAATAGATTTGCCATTTTAAAGGTAAATAGATGACTCAAAAATAAATAGCCAACAATTTTTATTGGCAGTTAGAATTTTTTCTTACCAAAGATTTACATTTTGCGGTTAGTGTAACTTGTTAACTATGAAAATGATATGTTGTCCCAATCATCAGAACTTCTCACTGGTTATGAAGCCCTTTGTTCTCACATGCAGTGTAATTCAGTAAGGATTTACCACTGCTTGGTACTTACAATAATAAAATATTTCCCAAAACACTAAATTCCTTTAAAGAATGAGATTCCCACTGGAGAAGTTTGGGACAATAGAGCATCCAAAAAATGGTGACAATAATTGATGAAACACATTGAATTTCTTCGGAGTGCCACAAAAAATAAAAGGAAAGGAGGACAGGACCTTTTCTTTCAGAGGAAAAGATAATAAATGTAGAACAAATGATAGAAAAATCACAGTTTTCCAAGTCAACCACAATTGATTCAGGAAAATTTATCAGAGGATACTAAAAGCCACAAGGTGAAAGACTAGCAGTGCAGGATCTTCACATGGTCTCAAAGTATCAAGCATAACTTGCTTATTACAGAAGAGACAATGTACCTTTACGTTTAAAAAAAAAAATTACTGCCTTAAGAGATCAAAGCTAGAATCACTAATAATGGGAAAATCTAATGTAATCTGCTTACAGATGTCATGCAACTAGACATACACATCGCTTACGAAGTATTCTTTGACACCTGTGATCCCAGCACTTTGGGAGGCTGAGGCGGGTGGATCACAAAGTTAGGAGTTCAAGACCAGCCTGACCAACATGGCGAAACCCCATCTCTACTAAAAATACAAAAATTAGCCAAGTGTGATGTCAGGCACCTGTAATCCCCACTACTGAGGAGGCTGAGGCAAGAGAATGGCTTAAACGGGGGAGGCTGAGGTTGCAGTGAGCCAAGATCGTGCCATCCTACTCCAGTCTGGATGACAAGAGCAAGACACCATCTCAAAAAAAAAAGGAAGTATTCTTGCCAAAATTGTTTAACCTGTATTTAACCAAGCTTCTGGACAGTGGATCCTAAACCTACCCCACACCCCCAAATCTGTTTAGCAATGTCTGGGTTGTCACAGTCTGAGGAGGTAGGGGTGTTATGCATCTCATGGGATACGGCAGGAATGCTGCTAAATATCTTACAAAGCAAGATACGGGACATCCCTGTACTCGGAAGAATGATCTGGCCCAGAATGTCAATAGTGCTAAGGTCTAGATGTGAGAACAAATTTAAAGGACATATAGGGGATATCTGAGCAAGTTAAACATGAAGACACAGGCAAATAAATCCACAATGAGGCATATTCTACAGGAAACCTGGCCTAGACTGTTAAAATGTAATTTAAGATTAAAAAAAAAAAAGAATTCTTTCAAATTTAAGAGATGTTAAGAGACATGAAAACAAAATGCAATACTGAATCTAAAAAATAAGACAATTACTGGTGGCCAATTGCAGAAATTTGAATCTGGACTGGATATTATTGGATAGTATAGTGGAATTAAGGTTTTCTTAAATGTGATAATGGTATTGTCCTTACATTGGGAATTTTATGTCAAAAACACAGATATAGAATAATTGGGTCTATAAGTTATTTACAAATGATTCAGAGAAATATATATGTAACATATGCATATATACATGTATATAGATAAGAGCAAAAGGAGGTAAATATGGCAAAATATTAAAAATGGGTGAATCAGATGGAGGGTCCACATGTATATTATGTTTTTTTCTCTAGGTTTGAAATTTTCCAAAATAAGTGAATTATTAATTTCTTTCACATCAAAAATTTTAAATTGGAATTATGTTTTGTATAGATTATTTAGTGCCATGGAGAATGGTAATAGCTGACTAGATGAAAAAAGTAGATTTCCATTTTTAATTAGTTAAATCATTGATTTACAGAAAATAGATAGCTACAATGAGCTGAAGTTGGGGAAAACCCTAAGGATGACAAAAAAAGAAAAGTTATGTCCAAGAAAACAAAAAGGAGGAATTAAATCAGTTTGGATTCTGTGGTATAAATTAACAGAAGAGAGAGAGTCTGAAAATCCATTCACCTTTGTTTCACCTCTATCATTTCAGTAAAGGAAAAGGTTCTCAGACTAAAAAAGGTAAAAGAATATGGATAAGTAATAGAAGCTACAATAAAAAGTGAGTTGATAAGAGTGCCTGGCCCTCTGAGGCAAATTATATCTTGTGACTGTAAGCCATTTGAATCCCAGGGAATACTAAAATAACCTATGAATGACTTAGATGAGCCAGTGCCAGGGGGCCCTATTATATCTGAAATCACCTGAAGAACCTATAATTTAAAAGAATGCTAGTTGCACTCACTTATAAAATGAAACATCACAATTTAAAATGTATCTTCTGGTTACATTTTAGTTTTCCATATTCACTTTGATTTCAATAAAATTCAGTCACTTTCCAACAGTTTTAGCATGTGACTTTTCATAAGTATATACAAAAGGAATTGGCCTCTTTTGCTTTCACATCACAAGATATAGCCATATATATTTTAGTTATCTCATTTAACTCACTTCACGTACTAAACTTTGCCACAATCCTTAAAGCCATTAAATTTACCAAGACTACATCTATTTTGTGTTTACAGCATGATACAGTGTTCAGGAAGATCTGTTTTTTAAAGAGAAGTGGAAAATGACCACCTCCCAAAAAAAAACCTTTGTAAACTTTTGCTATAATTTTCGTAGTTAATGAAATTCGCAAGACTACTTCCTGTATTTTCCCACCTTCCTCATGCAGGAACTAATGTATACAGTGGTCCATTTCTAAGACAAAGTGCCCTAAATCAGCTTAGGTCAGCAACCTACAGAAGAAACAGGATGTACTAGGCCCTGCTTGGATGGCTGATGTCTTCTCGTCGGCCTCCCACTGCCCCACTTCCTCACCCTGGCTTTATTGCCCTCACCTGAACCAAAGAAGATTAAGATAAACGTTTACTAGCCTGCAAAATAGCTTGTTTTGTCTGTTCTCATTAGCCTGCCCAGCTACTTCGGTCACAAGTGAAATACTTGAAGATTGCAATGCATTGTGGTCTGCAATAAAATGCAGCAAGACAGTCCTAAAAAGAACATCTAAAGCCCCTACCCAACAATCGATAGGCAACGGCCGGGAAAATTGTGCCCCAGTAGTACTCAGCCTATGTCCTGTGCACTAGGGGATAAATTGCTTGTTAAAGCTGTGCGGGTGTGCCTGTCAAGACTTGCAAGACTGTCTCACTTTTGCTGTTCTCTAGGTCTCTAAGTCCATTTTTTGAGTTTGGACAGGTGAGTTTATTTCTCATGCTTATAATTACCACAGTCTAAATATGCTACAAATCACTTACTCTCTTTAAAGCTTACCACTAAACTTGGCCTAACATGCAGTCTGCTCTTCAGATCTCCTGAAGACCTCAACCACTGTCACTTACCCCTCTTCTTTGGTACATAGCCACTTTTCAGCACACTGAAAGGACTCTTATATAACTAATTTAAATT